AAAATTAATATTTTTATCAAAATATTTTATTAAGTTATGTTCAAGAAAATATCTATTAATTTCTAGATATTTATTTAATCTACCAATAAGTTTAAAACAAAACTTCATGCATTGTTCCATTTCGTAACAATGTGCTAAATTCTTCCTTTCTTCTGAATTGTCCTTCCAGAAGGATACAATAGATATCCACGACATGCTAAATTAATTTCTATCAAATTTTATCCAACTTATGATATATGAATTTAATTTCTTAATTTTTAGAAATTTTTATTTTTATTATATATATATATATATATATATATATATATATATATATCACTTATTTATATATCATTATTTCAATGCATATTTAATAAGATATATGTATATACACACACAAATGTGTGATATGCGTGTGTATATGCACAATTATTATTCTGTTAAATAAAATAATAAATAATAAACAAATTATTTGATAAAAACATAATATAATTATGAATATATAAATTCATTCGCAGAAAAAAATGTGCGCAAAGAGTAGAGCTTAAAAATATTTTTACTCATATCATGATATATCTTATTACTATACATAATTTTATATATTACATGTGTATCTTATTCTATTTTGTATAATATTATTATAGATTATTGTTTTATAAATCAAGATACAAAAATTATAATAACAGCGTTTGCATTAAAATTTAAAGTGTATCAATAACATTAAATAATGATAAAAGAATGATTAAAGAAGAGTATAAAAAAAAATATTGAAATATACATATGAATACAGAAAAATGAAACAATAAATGAATTTCTCATATCCTAAAATAATAATTTGTTTTTCAAGATTATTTCTTTCTTCTTTATCACATCGTAAAAATGATATGATATTTATATATCTTATAAAAACATATTTTTAACAAAAATTGTTAAAATAATAAATTAAAAAAAACTTTTATGTAACGTAACAACATTTGTTACATACTCTATAACAACAAATTCAATCAATAAATAAAATCTACAAAAAATATCGCGTTTAACAATGTTCTATATTATTCTACACTATATAATAATTATAATTAAATATATATATTAATTATCCAAAATTCTTCAGTTTCTCTACAATACATCACAAATTTGTGCACTGAGCTGTGTATATATGTTACAGATATAATCAATCGATAAAGTATAATGTTCAGTATAATGTGTATATATAAATTACTCTTCCCTTCATACAGAATATACGCGTGGACGGCAAGAATGTATATATAATTATTATATATATATATAATTAAACCGCTTAAAAATCGCTAGTTAAACAATTTTGATAACATGATTCACATTTTGATAATGAAAGTGCGCTTATATATCGCCATTAAAGCGAATTCAAATGTTTGTCATATATAATTTACACATATACCGTTGACTATTATTTTTAAATTAAAAAAAGGTTTTTTATTCGATTATATAAAAATTAAAGTCAGCACACGCGTACATAATCAGCCGAATATATATATATATATGTTTATTGAATAATGATAATAAACTGCTTTTTTACTCTATAAGATATTTATGCCTATTTACTCTTTAACAAAAGTGTGGCAAAGTATGTGCATATATGTATATAGACTCTAATACGCATTAAATATTTACTGTACAATATTTTTAGGAACTCGCAATTCTATATCGTATAATATATAAACACAAATAGTATTATATACTGCGAACTGAAATATTAAAATGATTAGTTGCCTCGATGAGATATCTATTCTTATTACTTTGAATGAAAGAATTCAAACTATAATTGTAGATGCTTGTAGTCGACATTAACGGTAAATTATGTAGTTTTTTAGTAACAATATTATATAATTTATCATTACATTAAATTTATCAGTATTGTTATTTTTACACAATTATGAAATAAAATTTATATTATATATAGCAGACATGTATGACTTTTTACAACTAAATACTATATCATACTTTTTTCATGCGACACATTTTTTTATGATAATAAGCTTATTCAATTTTTGTAAATATTTAAAATGCCGTTATGGATGATATATCATATATATTATACAATATAAGAAAATGTTATTTATAAGTCAGTGTGTATCTCAGAAATTAAAATCTCACCTATACATAAAAGATATATATGTACCAAATGTATAAATACATGCTTTTACAAAATGATTTTAACGTTCTTACAATCTTACAGCAATGTTTTGTAATCTTTGAATGAAATTATTCTGTAATATATTTGCAACCTTTTTATGCTATAAAGAAGTTTCAAAAGGAGTATAAACAATATTAATTGAAAATATGTAATTTGTTGATGGGTATAAAATAAAATATAGTATAAAATAAAATATATGTATAAAAATAAAATCTCTGAATTACTTATTACTATATACATTTCGTGATGTATACAAGATATATATATATAATATATACAAGTGTTCTACAAATCTATTAAATGTCTTTTTAATACTAGTAATAGATTCTTCAACCAATTTGAGAAAATTATTTTTTTAGCAAAAATTTTGAGGTATCAATATTTCTATTGATGCATCAAATTTAATTTGTTAACATAATGTAGCAAAATATGCTAAGATATTGAATAAATTATAACGTGAGAAATATACCCATCAAAAAATCTACTTGATTGTTCGTTTGTCATATTATTGCTATCTATACTTTGCAATGAATAAAATAATTATCATATATATCTTTTCTCTCGCATGTAATATTTAAAGAAATTTCCTGCATAATATGATGTTATGTTAATTAGAATTCTAAATTATGTATATATTTTATGTTTATATTAGTAAATAATATACTATGTGTGTATAATGCAATACAATGATATATAAAATACATGTGTGTACTGGAAACTACGAAAAGCAGAGAACAAAGATTACAAAGGCACGAAGGCTTCTTTATTCTTAGGGTGAAAAGTCTAAACTTTTTTAGATTCTTAGAAATTTCTCACTACAACAACATTTGTGCACTGTACAGGAAAGAAAAATATTTATTGTTCTTCGCAATCTCGATAAAAGTGCAATGTAAATTCTAAATAATCGACACCATGTTTGTTTCTGCAAATATTCTGTAATAAAATAACAAAATTAGTATGTAGAGTCACTCAATATTATTAAACAAGATGTCATTTTCAAGTAATAATAATCTTTCTTATTTATGAAAAAAGTATACATATATAGGGTGGGACATTAAAATGGCTCACATTGTATAAACATTGTGAAGAAACTTAATAATATATCACACACATTAATATATTTAATATAATAAATGATATATCTATATACATTATATAATAATATATATATATATAATATATATATATATATATATATAATTATATTATATACCTATATTATATAATATTACATTATACAATATTTATATAATATTTATGATTTATTAATTATTATATTAATATATTTATTATATAAATAAATATTAATATAATATAATAAATATATAATAAAATCAGTATAATTACCTCTTGAGGTTGTATCGTAGGTATTCGAAACTTCAAAGTCTTCCTAAGATAATGAGCGACGTCAAGTGAGAAGGACTGATCGCCCGGTTGATTATTATTTTCGATGTACTGAGCTTGTTGGGACACAGTGTAACTCCAGCCACACACCATCGTTTCGTCAATATTAGAGTTCGGCGAAAAGGGACACTGCTGCACGATCTGCCAATACGGCATGCCGCTAAAATTGCATATTAATTAATATATCGAGCAGAATTTAGTATATGTATATGTATTATCTATTTGCAGATAAAAATATATATACATTAATATGCATATATTTGAAAAACTTACACGAAATGTAATGTTAAATGCGTATCCGGCATGTGTTTCGACAAAGGTATGATACAACTGATATTGTTGGGGGTATCCGGCGACGATGGCGAACAATATCTCTGATCTAGGGAAGCGTTGAAATTTTTCGCCACCACGAATAATTGTGGTCTGGGTTCCGGTGGCAATAATCCTGCGGCGTTACTCGCCACTTCTCCCCAATCTCCACCAGTCTCTCGTCTTACTCGTTTATGCGGTAAATACTTGTAATTAATCTGTAAAATAGATATATGAATTTATATATATACATATATGGAGTTATAAAATATTTAATATATAATATTAATATATAATATTTAATACATATAGTATATATAACATATATTTATAATATAGTATGATATATAATATTTAATATACATATAATATAGAATATTTACAAAATACTTGAATAAACTTCGAAGACATATTTCTCAAAAGAAAAAAATTATATATATTCATAGTAAAAAATGAGTAATTGTAAGTTACAATAAAACAAAGTTTATGTTAATTATTATTACCTCTTTTACAAGAGTTTGAGTACTAGGATTGGATGGACTAATGCCATTTTGAAAACCCTTAGCTAATTTCCGTTTCTCTTCATGCGGCATGCTCAATGGCTGTTCCAAATGATCTGCTAAAAATAACAAAATAAAGGGTAAACTTCTATACATTAATAGGGATTTTATTTTCATCCCTCTTCCCTCTCCCTTCATGATCTTGACATATATTGTCAAAATCACCATGTTGACTAACCAACAAAAGCCATTTGCTCATTTAAAATTATTTATAAATTGATACGAATCATGGTTCGAAGAAAATGAATTTTTTATTTACTATACTCAAATTGTTTGAGATTATTTTAAGTTTTGATAAAATATATTAACGTAGAGATTTATACTGAATAAAATTTGTCAAGTATTGCCATTATAATTTTTGAAATTCAACAGAGAAACTGCTATGACACTTACAAATGGATTTCTTCTCTGCCGGATGATCAGGCTGAGGATCTTCCAACTGATGGATCTCAGCTGTGCAACAATATATCTAAAAAAATAGTGTTTATGCAATTTAATTAATACCAAATATATATCTAAAATAATATTCTTATTTAAAAATTTAAGGCTCCTTTAAATCCACAGCCATGTGTTAGATTGTGACGTCAGAGGCGAGAAAATATACGCTGAAAATTCTTAGATGCCATTTTTAAGAATTTTTAGCACGTGTTTTCTTGACTCTGACGTCACAATCTGACATAGCGAGAGCGAAGAGCCAGAAGCCTTAAGAAAACAGATAAAAATAGATACCTGACATGGACTTTCGAGCTCGGTAAAGTGCGCGGGACATTCTTCAGGCCTCCCTAATGGAATCGGACCTTTGTTAACAGGCGAAGACTCCACGTCTGAACTCTGATCGTTTTCATCCACATTGCTAGGAACGGCGCCCGCGCCATTTCTACTGAGCCAGTTTCCAGGAAATTCACTGAAGAACAAAATTACGAGAATAAAAAACTTTTAAAAAGGATACATATAATGAAAAGTTCTTTTGTTTTGTAACAAGAAATTTACTGACTTGTTTTTTTCAAGTTTAGGCTGGGAACCCGCATGACTTATCGGATACCATGTTATCTCCTGAGAGTACAATTGCTGTTTCGTATGAGGTGGTGGTGTGGTCAGGGAATTACTTTTAATGTCTAATCCCCTCGTGTAAGACCCATGCTTCGTATACAAAGGTGATAGTGTACTATGCAGCAATGAATTGTATCGGTGCTCGTAATTAGAAATGGTGGACATCGTCGATGGATGAGCTGGACCAATGGCCAACATCCCATTGCTTGCCATGGTCGACCATTCAATGTTACTGCGTTTCTGATATTCCAAGAAATATAAAGTTGCCATTGCAACTAGGCTGTGAAAATTTTAATATATTAATTGGAAGATATTTTACGGAAATAAAATTGGAAACTCCATCCAGTAGATTTATTTGGATCTGTTTTTTGTTATTTTTCTAGATAAAAGTATCTAGATAATTATTTAGATAGGATCAATATACTCAAATGACGTCATTTTGACATTTAATGACGTCAGTTTGCTACTTGGGTATTTTATTTTCTTTTTAGATAAATAAATATAATGTAGTTAAGTCGGAAAATTTGCTGAGGATATGAATATAATTAATATCATAAATTAAGAAAATAATTACCAAAATGCCATGATGAGAATAAGTATAACAATGATAATTTGAATAAATTTATTACTGCAGAGAAGTTCTTCTTCTCTTTCGAGCCTTTTCGTCTTTCCATGCAAAGACGATTTATTATTGATAGAGGATGGATATTTATTGCCCGATATACTGGATACTGTGCTGATGGAGCTTTTTAGACTATCACCCCGTTTCAATTTTGCTAATCGTTTATTTATTCTCTCTAATTGATCTATTCTTGTTTCTAGACTATCTGTCACCTGCAATTAATTCGTTATATATAAAAGATGTACCTTTTAAATTTATTCATATATGTATATATATATGTCACAAAACCAAATGTATTTTTTATCAATAGTAGATTTTCTGCAACTTAAAGTAGATTTTTCCTTGGCAAAAATATCGAGATACATATCATTATATTTTGCAAGTTCCTAATTTTTTCCGTATATATAATATTTCATATTTATGTTTCTTATTATTTTATTTATTATTAATTTATAAATAATTTCATATATATAATAATTGTAACCGTATAAGCCTCAAATAAAAATTCTGTTAAAGTAAACTCGACTTAAAATTAACTAATTGATTAAGAATATAGTTTAAAAAAATTTTTTAACTTTACAAAGTTCAGTTTTTGTGAAAAATGCTCTTCTTTTTCGTTTAAAATACTCGGAAATGATTGATGTCTCTACATTTTCGCCAAAGAAAAATCGTCTCCAAATTTATCTACAATTAAACAGATATCTATGATGGTTTTGGAGTCATTTGCATCTTATATGTACTATACAAAAAAATTTTTTTTAGAATCTTACTTTACATAATTCCTTGACGGCACCAACATTCTCCATAAATATTCTCTCTTTATTAACTACCAAGAAATTTTCGATCCTCTGACCATTCGGTAGAACTATATCGCCTGCTGGTAGTACCGCTTCCGGTAAAATCTGCTGAACTTCCTGCGCTATAACACCAGTGTCTTCCTGTTTTACATCCAGACCCGAGTGCTGCGCGAATTCCGGAGCATATCGATAACGAACGACACGTAGCTGCTGTACATTTCGCAATTGTTCACGCGTATCCACTTCTTGAACGCTTTGCTTCGCCCTCACATCGCTAGGCTGAACGATATGGCCTGTTACCTATAACAAATTTAACGATTTATTGTATAATGTATGTATTAAAATGCTAACTATAGAGCGTCTCATTTTAATTAATCATATAGTCAAATATTGCTGAAACTATGGTTGTAACAAAAAAGTTGATAATCTTGAATTTTAACTAAGGTCTTTTTTTCAAGCTCAACCCATTTTTTTTTAATGGAATCACTTTAATTAGAAAAAAATATTTTATATTTTTTAATGACATAATTTTTCTCTCTCACATTAACTATAAAATATCTCGTAAAATATTTTTAAATGAGCTTATCTCATTATTTTTATACGCAAAATAATAAAGAGAATTAATTGATGTAAAGATATATATATATATTTTTTTAAAAACATTGTTTTTAAGAAAAAGTATATAATTTGTGCAACTATATACAATATATTATAAATGAGAGAAAGATTTTATAGAGATTTGCAATTTTTTGCATAAAGTGATCAAGTGAGATTTACGTGATCTTTTGACGCAAGACAGAATCTATAATTATTCGATTCTGTGAATTTATAATTTTTTGCGCGAAGCGTAAAAGTTCACTCTTTCCATTCACTCACGCGATACTTTCGATGCGAACCAACAATAGTAAAATCTCCTTACTTTGTATGGAAAGTCACAAACTTATGTGAAACTATATAATTATAAATATCACTTTATAAGCATCGAACGATGGAATGTATCATGTACTGTACAATTATAGATCAAGCGATATCGGATATTTCGCTTCACATAAAAAATTATAAATTGATGGAATTGTATAATTATATATAGATTCTGCTATGTAGAATTTTTCCCTTTCGCCTACATATTTCTTAAACATTTATATGTTTTGAAAACTATATAAGATCGTCGATTAAATCAATATAAATAGACTTATATATTTCTAAAATATATATGAAAATCAAAAATTGATAAAAATATAGCTATTAACATAAATAATTATTATATATTTTTGTTCCAATAATATATTTTCAATATTCATTATCTTCATTGTAAATAATAATTATTTATATAAAGAATAATGATATAAATAAAAATTTTTATTGTATATTGATTAGAGAGATATTTTATTTTTAGAGTATAAAAATTTCTTTAACTAAAAGCTGAATTATAGATACGTTTATCTACATTTTATGCAATATTCTATGCAAATAAATATAATTGTATATGTGCAAAAAAATATAAATATATACTCAAATAATAAATATTGTAATTTGTGAATAGGAAATATCTCTTACTTTTTATTTTATATATGTGTAATAATAATAATATTAAATTAATGATACCATATTAGCAAGATATTAAAATTTAGCAATATTTACCAAAGGAATTTATATAAGCAACGTCAAATAATAAAGTTAAAGAAAATATTGATTAATGCATAAAAGATGAGACACTCCAGAATAAGAATAAACAACATACCTTCATATTACCATGTACAACGAGAGCTTCATCTGGCCTGTCCGTATTTATTCCAACTCTGCCAGCATGATACACACTATCCGGAGCTGCTCCTCTTTGCCATCCACCTTCAGCACCTACACCACTACCTTCTGATTCAAATTGTCCTGGATTACTTGCCTGTAACGTGTAAAACGTATGAGAGTCAATCTACATTTTCTTCTTAAAGTATAATATTTTACAAGAAAACCTCGCAGACCCAAAAATTCTGATTTTAATGAATCTTTACGCACTTGTAGGGAAATTAAATAAATAGATAAATTTGGAAATTTTTAGTTACAATTAAAAATGATTCTATAAGGGGTTGAAAAATTTTATATGGTAAGAACACTTATTCTATTTAATTATATCAAAAATAATTTTTTCAGATTTAAAACAATTTTTGGTATAAAAATTATTTTTTCAAAATATTAATGTGGTTAAATAGAAGTGTTTTTACCATGAAACTCTTCTAGGGAACAATTTTTATTATCTAGAATACTTTTTGAGATATCTTGAGAAATACAGAAAGCTTATAAGGGGTAGTTTCATCCCTTAGAATCGTTCTTAAACCGTAATTAAAAATTTCTAAATTTATTATGTGTAAAATTTCATCAAAATTAGAACTTTATTCCCATGATTTGACATACCCTGACAATTATGCGTTCTGATGCGTGAGCCACCACTTGATAGCTTGCTTGATCCGCGGTATGGGCGTGCAATCCGACAACCAAATGAAAATACCTCTGATCCGGATTCGGTTTTCCTTTTTACGCATATTATTACTCGTAGTTTCGCTAAAGTGTAATCGACCGACCGTCACTTTCGTAACACGCTCGCTGCCTAATTCGATTCTGTAATACCGATATCTATCGTAGCGTAATTCAGCAATATCCAGTTACATCACCGAAACCTCTATAATATGTATTGCGTTTGTATATAGACTTACGTTACAGGATGAAAGGGTTTTTTGCTTCTATCGCTCTGACTTTGTTCCACTCTGATCGTTTGCGACGGAGATTCCACTTTGACTCCGTAAAAGTGTAATTGAAAACCACTTATTTTTTTCAGACCTTCGCCAGTCCTAACGAATATGGCTTCTCCTTGAAGTTGCGAGTGACACGTTATCTAAAAATGCAACTCCTGATTAGATATACTGTTTAAGAAAATAATATAATCCATTATTAGTTCAGCTTCTTGAATATTCTCAACAGCAAGACAATAAGATTTTATTCCTAAAGTTTCCTGATATAAAATGTAGTTAATATTGTTCGAGGCTATACTATATCACCTATATAGGTTCTCATGAGTACATCCTACATTATTTTGTTCCCATCTAGCTACGGAACCTTCTGCCTTGCCTTATTTCGCTACCCAGATAGCAAAAGTATTTATTTTGACAACAAAATGATGTCTCAAGTAGCAAACGTCATTATATGTCAGACGACGTCACTTTGACGTTTAATGATGTCAGTTTGTTACTTGGAAAGATAGGAACACATATATCAAAAATATCAGACAACCCGAAATAGATTCTTGATTAATCGACCGATTGAGACTTAAATTGTGCGATTATGTTTTAAAATCTGCAGATTCTTTACTCTTGATTAGATGTCCTTCTTTTACCTGAAAATGATTTTTCTTCTGGCAAACAAACGCATCGTCCGAATTGCTAAAATTGAATCCCTTGTCCGCGTCCACCCTGTAATGCGGCACCGGCAACTCCTTGAGATTATGATCGCAGAGAACGTGCCAGGACGTCTGTTGAAAGGGATGGAACCGGATGCATTGATAACTGGCGTCGATGTAACTGTTGTCGGTGACCTCGTCGCTATCCAGCACCGCGCTGCTGCTGCTGCAGCTGTGCTCCACGGTGCCCAGTTCAGGTTCCTGAAGAAGAAGAAGTTATTGCAAAAATAATTCAATTCAAATCGAAAAATCAAACCCAAAAATGTTCCAGTACTTGTTTGACGTGGATGAGACCATCTTGGCTGAGCTTTCTCTTTTTCGGAGCCGATTGCAGAGATGAATATAAGGTGTTGATGCCAGTCGAGCTGTGTTCTTGCGACAATGGCAGCAGAGGCGGTCCTATCTGAGGCTGCGTAGGAAGACTCGATGTTCCTGACGTAAGATGCGACGTCAAAACCGGCGTCAATAGCAGAGGATCCGTCGTCGTTGAAGGCAACGCTCTCGGAGAAGGTGGCAACAAATTTGGGGTGTATTGGTTATTCTGGTGATGCATAAGGATCTCTTGCAAAGCCGCCTTTTGGTCTGCAATTATTTATATACGATTGTTGAATTGCAATTTTATGTTCTATTGTAAAATATTCTACGTAATTTAAACTCACGTGGCGAATGCACATGTTGAGTGTCATTGTGTCCTGGTGGTGAGTATGGTGGCTCGCTTCCGCTGTCCGGTGGACTTTCCGGTAATGCATGTCTGAAATATTTAAAAATCATAATTGAATATATAATTTTTCATCGAAATTAATTTCCTACAGAAGAATATCCTTTACAGCACACAACACATATCCCGAAGACGTTTAGAAAACATGAGAATGTTCGAATATCCTCTGGATATCCTCTGAATAGCTTTCGGATATGTTGTGTTATTAGGGATGGAAAGGATAATATTTAGGTTTGATTAAATTTGAATATAATTCTAATATGTGAGCTCAACTTACGGATGAACATATGATTGCGGATCTTTGTAGCCATTGTTATTGTTCGGCACCGTCGTAGTACCGGAAATGCATGCTATCGATACTGGATGTGTCATCTGCGGCGAAGGTAATCGCGGTGATGGCTGCTGTTGGACGACAACCGGCTGCGACGTAGGTGCCTCGATCCGGCCATTGTGAGGCGCCGTTGCACCCCCATTTTCGTTATGCGCGAGAGTGTCCGCAAAGTATCTAATACAGAACATAAAATCTAGATATATACTTGTTTCTTTTATTTTTCCTCTATAAAATGTCTTTAAATTATATCATTTACCATTTTATTTAGATATTTATATAACGAAGATATAAGATATAAGAAAGGAAAAGGAAGATATAAAAAGAAGATAAAAATATATATATTTGCTATTTGATAAAAATCTTGTATATATGTTATATAATGTGTGTATATCTTTCTACTTTCTTTTTAAAGAAGATATATATTTATACCTTCTTCTTAGAAAATTTTTCTTTAAAAAAAGATGCGTATATCTTCTTTTTATATTTTCTTATATCTTCCTTATTATACCTATAGTCTATAAAAATTAATTATAATGTTTAATTGTAACATTAATATTTATATACTGTATATACTTATATATATATATATATATATATATATATATATATATGTATATGTATATAGCTTCTTTAAAAAGAAAATATAAATTTATATATCTTCATTATATAAATATTATACAATTAATTTTTGTAGACAGTACAGTAAAGGGAAATATAAGTATATTTCTTCTTTAAAAAGAAGCTATACACTTATATCTTCATTATATAAATACTATATAATTAATTTTGACAATATAATGAAGGAAGATATCTTCTTTTTATAAAATAATGTTATTTAAAAATTAATTACATAATATTTATATAATGATGAAATGAAAGTATATATCTTCTTTAAAAAAAACTACATACTTTTATCTTTATTACATAAATATTATATAACTAATGTTTGTGGATAATATAGAAAAGAAGATATAAGTATGTATGTAAAATAATGTTATTTAAAAATAATTATTAAATAATTTAAAAATTAAATAAATTAAAATTAATTATATAATATTTATATACTAAAGATGTAAGAGTATATATCTTCTTTAAAAAAAGTTATATATATTTACATATCTATATATATTTATATATCTTTATTATATAAATTATATGTATAATTAAATTTTGTGGACAGTGTATAGTGAAGAAAGATATAAATTTATATCTTCTTTTCATAAAACAATGTGTTATTTAATAAAAACCGTGTATATGCTATACAATATTGTATATGTGTTATAACAGCGACTTCCTACTGATCTTTCGCGTGCTGAGAGTGCAATTGAATTTGCAAAACACGAGATATCGTTATCATTTGATTCGGTATTTCGCGGAAAATGATGCTTTGACGATTCGTGTTTTTTGTCCCGCGAATTGAGAAAACTCGTGAATGTTTCACTGTAAATGTACACACACATATGTGATGTATACGGATACTATTATATTATGCAATTTCCGTGTTGAAGACTTGGCCGCACAATTTACATTTTAGTCTGATGAATTTTCCGCGAATTCTTGATTAGAAAATAATTGAAAAACATTCACTCGATAACGCGTAATCTCTATCGATCACATTAAAAAAAAAAAATCATGCAAAATAACCCATTCTTTTTTATTGCATAAGTCATGCAATTAGTAATTATACTGTCAGAGAGTTGGGAATTCTTGAAAGTCTTTAAATATAAATTAATAGCCGAGTTATTGTTTTCATTATTATTCTCTCTAATGCATATTATTTTTTCACTTTGATATTTTCCATTTTTTTCAACTAACGTATTAATTACATAACGGAAAAAATAAGATATAAGCGTTTTTATAGGTTTCTCTTTCTCTAAGCGACCATTTCGTACAAAATTATTTCGCATTTACGTCACGATACATTTTCTCCGCTTATCTTATTAACTAATGTTTCTTTAAATAACATATCTGTTGCGAATTGATCAATCACGATGCATGCACGTGTACACATCAAAATATGCGTTTCACACAAAATTGCAGGAATAAGATAAGTATAAATATCAAAAAAAATAATAGAATACTAATAAAAATACTAATAGAAATACTAATAAAAAAGAAAGAATATTAGCATATCTAAAATTGTAAAAAATATAACTAATTTATCTATATAAGTATATGAAGATTGAGATAATTATATAGATATACAAGTATCGAAATTCGAATCCTAACACTGCGAGACAAGATCGTAAGCATTTTTTTAAATGCAAATAAAGTGCCGAAAATCAAATTATTACCGTAACAAACAAATATAAATAATAATAGATAATGTTAAAAACAAATAACAAGAATAAAATAAGAATATTGAAATAGGAATTAATAAATAGCAAAATAATAATAAAGGAAAATAATTTTCATATAGGTCTAGGAAATTTAATTATGTATGTAAAAACCGTATAAATATTTTAATAGAGGAATAAGGATATTTTAAAGTGTAAAGTTGGTAAATAATAATAAATAGATAAATAGATAAAATAATTCAATATTTTAGCAGACAAAAAGTGTGATTTACAATTATTATATATTTTAAAATAAAAAATTTTTTAATTAAACAATTTCTCATGTTTATACTATTAAGAGAGAAGTGAATTCATTTTTTCAATTAATTCTTTACTGTTGCGATATGATTCCTCTTAATGGAAGACGAGTGTTGGAAGTTGGATTAGCAGGGTTACAACACTGCACAACACTGTGATTCCATCAATTCTGTTCCGTCTGTGCCATTATATCATTACACCTCTGCGGTCGTTATCTGCATAGATATCTGTATATGTGAACCGAGTGTACACACGCACGTGAGATTGTGTTTGCATATAAAAGAATAGGATGCGTTTCCTGGGTATATGTATGATTACGTCAGTATATATGCAGGTTTGGAATAAGATGTTCAGTGCCTCAAGTAATAAATGGAAAACAGAATCGATTGTATCTTCCTCTATTTGCTCTTTGTTTTTGAAATTGAGATTTTGTTTTTAAGTTTCTTGCTTCTCTCTCTCTCTCATTTTTTGTTTTTTTTCTATATTTATTGTTAGTATATTAGAAAATATACTATATTATACAAAATAGTGTAAAATAAAATAAATAATATATAATATATTAAAAATTAAAATATATTATAAATATACTGTAATCTACTAAACCACTAAATCTACTAAAATCATATATACTTTAAGCATACTATATCATATATTATCTTTAAATTATATCTAACAAATACTTCAATTTCCAAATAATATTTTTAATAATAATTTAAATAATATTTTAAATAATAACATTTTTTAAATATAAAGAGATGGCGAAGATTTATCTCTTTTTTTTAGTTGCATGTTTTGTATGTTTTCCATTGCTTCAAAAGTATGTAAAAATATTAAAATATATCGCAACAATTGCAGTTCTAATACACAATATGGAATTATAAAAACACAGCAAAATTATTCCCATGATAATCTTCCGTAGTAACAGAACAGCTTGAATACATATAGAATCAAGATAGAGCAATTTAGGAATTTAGCTTGATACTTGGTTGTGTCGTTCGCAGGAAACGCGTGCTCCTGCGCTATTGGACGGTAAAACCATATTATCTAAATTCGTTAATTAGCATAACTTGAAAAGGGGCGCCTGCAAGTGCGGAAGTGGCGTCGCGCAAGGCTGTTTTCGCAGAAATTCTACGCTTCTCATTAGAATTTTTGACTTATTTTTCACGGAATATTAATATGTATTTAATAGACGTGAATTCATTATAACAGCTTGTATATATTTTTCTTACACTTTAGACATTATTTTTCTTTTTAAGAAAATTGTGTTAAATAGAGAAAACATTTTTTTTCTTGAAGCTTGTATATTTATTAATTTTGAAAATTTATCAAATAATTTTTATACATATAATTTTTTCTATAATTTTTATTTCTATTATTTTTATATATATAATTTTTTTTATAATTTTATTAATAATTATTATATTTATAAATATTTATAATAAATTTATAATTTACAAATATTTATAATAAATATTTATTTTGTTAAGAAACAAATTTGTTTCAGTGTATAAAATATAAAATATGTAGAAATGAGAGAAATATCGCGTTGACGCAAATTTCATAAAAATACAGCAATTCATCGATATAAATTGCTAAATCGGTGCCATGTAGTATTCCCTGAGAAACAATTCGAATTTGTGATTATTGCGAGACACGCAGTATTCACGTGTAACAGAGAGACACGCGCGTTGTAGGCGTTAACCATGGCTTCTAAATGTGGTTAAACTCTGTTGCCAGATTGAATATTTCAATGCTCGAGATCAGGTTTCTCGTCTGATCGATTCTTTCTTTTTTTGTTCAAGCCAACTCAAGGCGTAACAATAAAAATAAAATTAAAAAAAATAATAATTGTGCCTGCAGACAAGATTAATCGTTCTTTAGACTCACGTTGCAGGTTGTTCACTATCACTGTTGATGAAGTCCTCCAACTGAGAAAAATCTAGAGCCTCGTTGTCTATACCCCCGACAAAATCACCACGACCTGAAAGAAGACAAGAATTATTCTGTATTAGCGTGAAATTAAATCGTCGTCCTTTACATTAAATATATGTATAATGTCACTATTTAGCCATTTTCTTTTTATTGCAACATATATTGTAATATATAATATCTTAAGCAAATTGACGTCATTAAACGTCAGAATGACGTCATTTTGACGTTTAATGACGTACGTTTGCTCTTTGTGGGATATAATATATATTAATATTATATATTAATATATATTACTTATATATTAATATTATATATAAAATATATTGCATAATATATCATATATAATTTGCATATTATATGTATAATTTTATTCATAAAATTATTGTGTCATGCACAATATTTCGCACAAACTGCGTCGTCATTTATTGTGTCATAAGATGCAAGAGCTGTGAGGAAAGCATGTAATCATATGAGAAAAAGATTTCAGATAAGAATATTGCATGTTATCATTCTTGACGATTTTTAGAGAGGGAAAGTAGAAAGTCTATTTAATTTATGGAAATGAATGCAAACAAATTTCGTGGATGATTGCGATTTAAAGATGACGCAGTTTAATGAATATAGAGCAATAAATAAATAAAATTAATCGTGCAAACAAAACCAAATTTCTTATTGCCATGTTTTCATAGACACATTCATTTTTATGATCGATAAAAAAAATTATTACATAATTATTATAATTTATTTATTACATAATTACTACAATATTTCCAATTTTCTGAAGTGATGAAAATTGCGTGAAATTAAATGGAAAAAAATTGCTCGTCAAAAATCGTTGAAGCAGTCATTAAGCTGCTTAAGGAAAGTTGAGACTTCTGATCTTGCTTTGAAATGTAAGAACACCAGCATGTATGTAGACTTTGTATATGTTTAAGCGCTTAAGACTGCAATCTAAGTGTTGTAATACGTTACTTCCGGTCAAATATTCATAGACGTTCCAACGTCGTTGGGAGCACTTTGCAAGTGAATAACGAGATGTAACGACGCGTCGTGTTGTCTCGCCGAATGTGTTTTTCCGGTCGAACAATTTATTATTTAACATTATATCATATAGTATATAATTTTATATATAAGAATTTTTCAAGAATTATTCTCAACTTAATAAGAAAATATTATATTTTATTAGAGTAATAGTGATAATAATAATATATGTAAAAAAAGCAGATTTCGAAAATATATAATAATTTATATTAAATTATATAATAAAATTATATATAAAAATACAAAGTAATAAAAATCTAAAATAGTACATAAAAAGAGAAAAGAAATGGAAATAATATAATTAAAAATAAATCAATAATAAATCAATAATTAATTAATATTATATCAAATCATTAATTAATATTATAAATTATTATGTAATATTAGAGGTATTATATAAGTTAGGAGAAACTAATAAAAATAAAGGAACATAATTATTTTCAATAGTGCTAATTCGACAAATAAGAATGTCTTTAGAAATAATTTTTAATTTTTTTCGCCATTTATCATTTAATAAAAACTATCATTTTTTTAAAATTAGGCAAACACAATGTCTAAGATAGTACTTAATATATATTTGAGAAAAGAATTTGAGGGGTGAGTTACGATGGTGAGTCGTTGCCAGACAAGCTTTTATCGAGGTATCGACCAAACATCACCCCCCCATGATGGGTGGCTGTTTAAATGTGAATATCACATTGTACCAGATATGCGCCACAGTTATAAATTATCGAGTCAATATCAATATATGAAAATTAGAAAGGTCGATATTATTCTGTGCCTCGTAGTAACGAATTTTTCTAATCTGCATACACGTAATTTCTTAAGATGTATATAAATATCTCATATAAGTGAATCAAACTATATTTGTGCACACCTCTTATATTTCTTTTTAATAGTTTTACACAAAAAAAATTTTTTTAATTATTACAGAAAATTATTATCTACGTTTGTATATTAAAGTTTGAAGATACATATACTTGTATAGGTTGAATTTAAGTTGAAAATAAATTGAAATGTGAAAAGTAGAAGAAAAACACTAATTTTCAAACTCGTAGTAAATTTGAATTAATTATAATATTCGCAACGACACAAAGGAATTTTACTGAATACAATTGTATACATATTCCCTCGCCGATGCGATTGTGTATGCTAATGTCAATTTTCATTCACGCAAGCGATGCATCCGATTCTTGATAAAGCAATAGTACGATAAAACAATTGCGTCTCTATTCCAACCGATCGACTCCCGAATAATCATAATGCAAGTATCCTCGTGTAATATAAGTTTTCGACCCATGTATCAAGCAACGACTACTTTCTCCAGCGAGGCAAATAGAAATGCATGGTATATTGTACATATACAGGGTGTCCGGTAACAATCGTTTCACTTCTTGTGCACATCTCAGGTAAAGCAAGTTAAACCGAATAAAAAAAGTTCTCTACCGTTCTACGAAATTTGTGATAATTAATGAGATTTAGACTTCTGACTCTTAGTCGACCATGAAATTGTGACGTCAGAGGTGGCAAAAAACGCTAAAAATTCTTAGATGCCAAATAAAAAGATATTTCGATGAAACAGCACTTCATATGGCTCTAGCACACTTAAATACTTCGGAAATTATCCTTTTTTCTCTATAATCAATCAACAGCTGTAAAATGACTGTAATATGAGACCCAGTCTGTCTGGTTTTTGCGCATGCGCACCCAAGTAGCAAAAATGACGTCATTTTGACGTTTAATGACTCAATTTGCTATTGAAATTGGAAAAATGTAAAGGATATTCAGAAATCTAAAATACGCAGTTAGTACCCATACATTGATGAAAAATAGTATATTGATGACGTCATTAGACGTCGAATGACGTCATCAATATACAATTTTTTCATCTTTTCATCAATGTATGGATATCAACTACGTATTTTAAATTTCCGAATACAAAAACCCTTTGTATTTTTCCAAGTGACAAATTGACGTCATTAGACGTCAAAATGACGTCATGACAAAGTCATTTTACAATTGTTGATTCACTGTCAAGGGAAAATAATAGTTTTCAAGGTATTTTAAGTGTGCTAAGAGCCATCGAAATATCTTTTCATTAAAAAATTACATCTAAGAATTTTCAGCGGGTGCTTTCTCGCCTCTGACGTCACAATCCAACATGGCCGCGGCGAGGAGTGCATCCAGCAGGAGTTTGAATAGGAAAGAAAGCCTCACCATTTTGCGATCTTCTAATAATTAATAATTAGATATTAATTATATATTAGGTAGATCTAATAATTAATAATAGGATATTAATTAAAACAGATCGGTTCGATATGCGTACGAGAGATTATTATCGGACACCCGGTATATAAATGGCGACACATCTATGAAAATTGACTGGCTTTCATCCTTCATGATAAAATACGCGACGCGTAATTTACATGGCGATGAAACGTAATATTAACGCGCATATATGTATATACACTTTCGACATGCGAATTGTCACGATCGTATCATAAACGGAAGAAGTTAATCGATGCCCGGTCGTCGATTTCACCCCTGTTAATAGTTAATAGAGCCGATGCAGCTGCCACGTTGTAAATACGAATCCCACCTGAACCCTATAAACGATTAGCAGGGTGCATAGCATTTTTTTTTTCACGGCTATTAAGGGTCTATCGAGGGGCTCTCGAACGAGTTGCGGACAGGTGTTAAACCACCGTTCACGTGTAGTCACAAAATGCAGGGTTGGCTAAGTTAATGATTTTTTTAAACTATGTTAAGTTAAAGTTAGTTGCTTAAAAAATTAATTTAGTTAAATTAAAAGTTCCATGAACAAAAAGTTCACTCAGTTAAAATTAAGATTAAATTAACTGAAGTTAAATTAAAAGTTAATTTTTAAACACATTATTTATATTAAATTAGAATTTTGTTTTATTAATACTTTTAAAATTTATAATAACAAATAACAAAGAAATTTTGATTTTTATATAGATATATAGATATATTTAAATAAATTTATGTATAGATTTTTATATAGAAATATATTTTTTAGTAATTGCAATTGATGACAAATAAACATAAAAATTAATAATACTTTAATTTAAAAAGAATACGTTTATAACTTATAAAAAAATAATAATGGTATTCAGAGATAAAAAAGTTTAACTTAGGAAAAAAATTAATAAATTTAAGGTGAAAAATAATAGTTGAAGTTAAAAATTAATACATTTTAAATTAACTAAATTAAAAGTTATTAACTTTTTAACTTTTTTTAAACTTTTTAACTAATTTTTATTCATCCCTGCAAAAATGTATCGATATATGACATCGACACATAAAAATAATTATCGTATAAAATTTATGTATTGCATTGCAATATGTTTGACGCAAAACGCGCTAGTATAAACAAATAAACGACGTAATACATACATTTTTAATTCACTGGTAATTACAATTTGTGCCATATATCATTTATATAGTTTTATAATACGCATACAATTTTATTATAGTGTCAATTACAGATATATAGAATATTTCATTGTTAGAAAAGATAAGCAAAATAATAAATTAAAAAAATTAAGAATAAAAAGATTTGGAAACTGACTGATTATAAACAGAATTTTTAATAAAGCTTTCATAACTATATATATTTTAAATGTAAAAAAATGAAAATTGACGTTATATTGTCCCTTCAATTTTCAATTATTTTAAATTTCATGACGATTAACATTATTTGCCTGATATTGATAACTTTCATACATGCTATATATAAGATGTTTATAAATATTTTTCTAAAGAATATGATGAAATCGAATTCCGAGATACAAGGAAAAATAGCATTGATGTATTGACTTAATCGAACATAAATATATGCCATATTTGCATATCTTTAATGTATTGTTTAAAAATAAAAATTTATTTCCTCCTTTTTTGATTGTGATATAATCATCAGCTCTATGATTATTTAATATCAATTTTACTTTATGCTTTATCGTATCCCTCTCTCTCTTTCTGTCTCTA